CAACGGCACGATCAGCAACGAGTTCTTCCACGACTTGGGCGCCAACGGCACGATCGACTACGAGTTCTACCGCGACTTGTGCACCAATGGCACGATCGACCGCGAGTTCTTCCACGACTTGGGCACCAATGGCCCGATTGACGACGAGCTCTACCACGACTTGGGCACCAATGGCATGTCCGACTACACGCTTCGCGGCGACACCGGGGCCACCGAGAACCCAGGACCAGGCCTTGAGTGCACAGAACAGGTGTTTGTCATGTCCGTTGACACTGTTTTCCACTCGCTTTCTTCGGGTTCATATGCTGCAGGCCACGAGGATAAGCTATACAGTGAGTACCGCTGAGCGACCTGTTTTCCGTTTTGGGGATGGTCTTTCGCTTCGGGCCTCCTCCAAGGTCGTGCTTCACGGCACCTCTTTGGGTTCAGTGAGTTTCTTCGTTCTAGATGGCGACCATCGCCCCCAGACCTGGAATGCTTCGAAGACCCCGGCCCTGATTGGCAGCAAGTACCTTCGGGAGTCCAAAGCCACTATATCGTATGAGCACATGAGGTTGTGGTTCCTGGATCCTGCCAATCAGTTGTGGGGCACAGAGCTTTTGCAGACTCAGTCGGGCCACCTGATGATACCGGTAGACAGTGACTTCATGAACCTCTCACAGCTTCGTAGACAAGCCGAGGAGACCTACAGTATTGTGTTACCACCCGACGCACCGAGTCTGATAGACATCTTGTCGACGCCGGGTGCGGCTCTTGAGCTGCGTCGCATCCAGACCGGCGAGGGCAAAAGCTTGAGTGAGCCGAGGGCTTCGCAGCAGAGTGCGCCTGGGCATGTCAAGGAGCAAGAGCCTGAGCCCAGCATTTTCGTTGGAACCGCAAGTCAGTGCCACAATGGTTTTCATGAGGATTCTCCGGTTCGACCTCCGATGGCTCAGAGATTGCAGAGTCTACGCATGCAGCTAGGTTGCGTAGCTCTTCGTCGCAGGGCTGGGCCGCAACAACATGTCCAATTCGAAGACGGCCGCCCCTTCGGACGATCCTCGGGTCAAGGGCTGGCCGTGCGGGGGCAAGCACAGCCGGAGCGGCCTTCGACAGAACCAGTGGGCCACGTGGAGCGTATGCGAGGTGTGCGGCCTTCGCCTCCCCTACGAGAAGAAGAAGATGGGGCACGGCTACACCAGGACCGCGGGACCCCCGGCACACCACGTGGCAATGGCTATGGAGGAGCTCCGCTCCACGATCCCGGCCGAGGACCTGACCGAGAGCATCGTCAAGCGCAAGATCATGGAAATCCAGGGGCGCAAGAAGGTGATGGGCGAGAAGGTCAAGATCGAGACGCAGATGGAGGAGCGCGAGCCATCACCAAGGCCCCCCACTTGCGACGACCGCCGCCGGACTGGACGCTCCTTGCCGACGACGGCCACCAGTTCCCAGGATGTTGTGGCGATGAATCGAGCCAAGGCGGCGCCCAAAACGCGAGATCCGCGGCCACCTCTGGGAAACCCTGCTGGCAAGACGGAGAGCGAGAAGGAGAAAGACTTGGAGGAGGCGTGGCTGCTCCTCCAGGACCAGCAGTTCAAGCTGTCGGCCCTGAAGATGAAGCTCGAGGAGGAGATGCGGGGCCAGCTTTCAGAGCTCCGGGGCGTCCTCGGGACCCTCTCCTGGAAGGCCTCTCAGACAGGGCCTTTGTACCAGTCCGCCGTGTCCCTCAAGCTGTCCGAGATCCCCGCACGCCACGATCAAGACGATCCTGGAGCTTGTGCGCGAGGTTCGTCGCCGAGCGAAGCAGAAGATCACTTTTCCTGCCTGGCGCCTGCCCTGGCAGCAGATGTCCACAGTAGTGCGGGCAGATGCCTCGCAGGGCAACAGACCCAACAAGTCCTCGACGATCGGGTTCATGGCGTGCTATGGGCCGAAAGAGATTGCCGACGGTGAGGAAGTGCACTTGCCATGGTGGCGTGGAGAAGCACCAAGACGCCGCGCGAAAGCCTAGGATCCAACGGGTCAGAAGTGCAAGCACTGACTGTGGGTGAAGATGCAGTGTTCCTCCTGAGAGCCATGTGGGTGGAGGTTCATGGGCATCTTCTTCATCGTGACACTTTGCACGAGACGATCCGTGACAACAGCCATGGCACCCTGGTGACAGATAGCAAAGGCATCTTTGATGCCTTCACCAGAAATGTTTCCGCGCTGCACGGCTTGAGATCCAGCCGTGCCGGATTCGAGCTCACCGTGGCAGTGCAGCAGGCGATGCAGCAGAACACCAACTTGAGATGGGTTAATGGAGAGGCCCAGCTAGCAGATTGCCTCACCAAGGACACCATTGCCTCCAAGAAAAGTTTGATGAGCTTCCTCAGCAATGGTCAGAGATGGTCCGCTGTCTTCGACCCGAAGTTTGAAGCAGCCCGAAAGCTTCGCAAGACAGAGCTGCAGAAAGCGCTCAAGGAGCGCGAAGTGTCTTTTATCACAGCATTAAGAGCTTTCAGCTTGAAGGAGCGATACCCTTGGTATTTAGAAGACTACGTTGAGGTGTATCAAGATTTGCAACCGCAAGACCTCAGGAAAATGTTATTGGTGTAAGCTCCTGAACAAGTGTTCGCTTTGCTGTGAGGTCTCACGTTTGCCGGACTTAACCTTTCTGGCTCAAGGGACGGGATTTCTGCTCGAACGTGCCAAAAGGCTTCTTTGCAGTGTGCTGGGCTGTGGCCCGCTTTGCGAGTGAGGTATTTGTGCCTCGTACAAACCTGAGAAGTACCCTTTCCAAGAAGATCATCGGCAGCCTCTGTTTAAGATTTTCGCGTCGGCGAACATTCGACGCTACTTTCGGTTGTGGGTATGGGATAAGAGTATGTTACAGCTCAACCGGCTTTCTCTCCTTTGAGCTTCAGGATGTCTACGATTTTTCTAGTTCCGCTCGAGGGATTCTATGATTAATCTGCCAGACCTCTCTTTGACACCCTTTGCACTGCACTTGTGACTGCGGTCTTAGATGAATTCGGAAATGGGCATGGATATGCTACGCTGGCTGCTACGCAGGTTGGAGAGGCTGTGGAGCATCTGCTGTCCTTGCAGCAGCATGACATGGCTCGCACACTCGTTCTGAGCTTGGTCAATCAGCCGATGAAGCAAATCCAGCAGCTGCAGCATCCAGACTTTGCGGCACCTTGTCGAGGCCCAGATGTATGGCATGACAGATCCCTTGCACTCCCTGGAACTGTCAAGATTGCACTATTTGTTCACTACGTGGCTTGGCAGCATGGCACTGCTTCGTGAATCCGGTAGCATGTGTCTAGTTTGCCTACATTGATGCTCGAAGGATTGCACTGTTGTTGTGAGTGATGGTTTCTTGAAAGAAGCAGCATCGTCTGTCTGCCGACGTATTTGCATCATTCCAGGAAGCATGACAAGACGAATGCGGTCAACAGGCACGGTGTGAGAAAAGTGACCTTAGCCACCTTGTGTCCGCTTGCCGAAGGAGCTTTGATGGTTTCTTTGCTGTCGTAAACGAATCCACATGATGACATAGCTTTGCAGCTCAAGCCGTCGCCCTGATGGCAAGAGCAACAGCAGATAGTGAACCGGAAGTCCACCTTTGAAGCCAGAAGCTTGGAACCGCAGAGATGCCCTGAAAATATGCGGGCAAAGCGGACTCCGCGGCTATAAGAGCAAAGGTTGATGGAGCCTTGCTTAGCAATGCTTGCAAGGTCCAACAACACCATTGGACGATTTGATGCTTAGACAGTGGCTTGTCTCAATCTGGGTAGTCGTCGCTGCATGGTCCCGCTACTGACTAGTTGTAACAGATCCTTGCCATGCCGCAGAGAGGTGTGTTACCGTTTGCGTCGTTTCCGCTGCTGTGAGGCTGCAAGATTTGTGCACGACTCGGATTGGGTTAAACGGGGGCAAGCCCAAGTCTAGCTTGGCCGCTTAGACATTGCTTAGCCTTTGAGCTCTCAACGACTCGTTGGCTCGATGTCGAGACAGGGTTGTTGCCACAGCCACAACAGGGCGGAGCAGCCGTACATAAAATCGAAACAAGCGCAGACTTCAGATTGGAAGCCAGAGGAACGAATGTCACTTCCTGCTGCGTTTTGCGACTATCTCAGGCGACACGTTGGCATCGCACTGTCGCTTCTGGTTTTTGGACTCGAGCGACACATGGCTGCAGCATGCACGTAGGTATCAGCGCAAAGGCATATCGCCAGAATGGCGAGGGCAACACGGACCATGCCCGAAGCTACTCAGGTGCCGCAACTGGCAATGCAGATGACTTCGAGGCCGAGGATATGCACAGAGACTGGGTTCAACATAGAGCAGATGAGCATTGTGCTTATGTCAGTCGAATACGATCTCATTTCTGGGTTGGCAGGTGCGTATGTTTTCGGTGCATGGTCTAAGCTTGTTGGGATCGAAGGTCGGACACCGTGAACTCTAGAAAGTTGTACTGAGTCCAGAGTCTGTGACGATTCGAGGCGAGTGCTTATCCTTGATCCAAAGAACGGCCGGTCTCAAGGACAGGCTCGGAATCAGGACTGTGCCCTCCCAGCAAGAGGTGGGCTCTTGTTTTGCTTGTCGACGAAATCTGGTCCAGATAGTATTGGCTTTTCGTGAGGCTCATCAAGAAGGCACGCTTTTTCAAAAAGCGCTGGTGGTTTCGATTGGTTCAGGCCTCAGTCTGAATATTTCAGATTGGAGGCCGGTTATTCGCAGCAGGGAATCCACAGAAGCCCTTCATCTGAGAACCCGAGAAGTACACCGTCACTGCACAAGAGCTCAAGGACCTTCGAACGGTTTTCGCGCCGTGATGATGCATAGCGCTAGCTCAACATTCGTTGCTTTCTGGAGGACATGGGTGTTCCAGCAGAGATGGTGTCTCCCGGCCGCAGCCAGTACCCTGCAACTTGAAGCCACAGACCGTGCACGTATGTCTCGTGCCGTACCTTAAAGGGTGTCCTTTCGCTCAACAGGCGCGGCTACGATGGAAAGATGCCATCGGAGGCAGGCTGAATCATTGAGACAACGAGCTCAAAATGCTAGTGACCAAACTGCCGGTACTCGGATAGCTCTTCTCAGTGTTCAGTTGCAGGCAGCCTCGTTTTCATGCCGGCGTGACATCACCGACATCCACCACTAATGACATTGTGTTGGGCGCAGGTCCTTGAAGCGCTGCAGCTTTTGAAGGAGCCGCCCTCTCAGAGGGCGGGTCAACTTCGTGTGCTGGGATGCACTCGTTCTGGCAAACATCCTACTTGTAGTGACGCTGGCAGGTATGGGAATGCCGCCAGTCTGCATTCCACCGTTAGCAATTGGATGGTGTGCATGCACACCTCTCCGGGGAAGCCACCAAACCTCGGCGGGCAGCTCAAGATCGACGATGTCATATCGATACCGATACCCGTTTGCATGAGAAGTCCTGAGGTGCAGCTATGTCTGAGCTTTGGAGCAACCTCTTCAGAATGTCTCCAAGAAACGTCGACGAATTGCTTCAGCACGATCATCACGGGTGCGTGCCAAAGGCGCAGACTCTGACTGTTTGTCTTCTTTCAATCCGGAGTGGGGTGTTTGCTTTGCTATGCTACTAGGTCATAGCGATCGCTGCAGCTCATGTGCGACTCTGGCGTGATCTTGCCAGCGGAAATCTTCCCAGTCAGGGAGCAAGTTTAGAGGGTGCTCAGCTCAGTGCGTGGTGCTGAAAAACAAGTTGAAACACGTAGTAGTGCGAGATTCTTTGTCGATTCTGGTGGCGATCTTGACTCGGCAGGTGACTCGGACCCCTGGTATCTCGTCATGGAGGACGACGTGGTCTTTTGCCCTGGCTGGCATGAGCGTATGCAGCGAGAACTCCCCATGGCTCCAGCTGACGCCGAGGAAAGCTCAGCTCCAACCCAAAGCGGGCCCAGAGCTCTCAGAGTCTGACAGGTGATCAAGCTCTTCTTTTTCGGGCACTGGCGTGAAGAAGACCAGGCGCAAGCCATCTCTTAGTCCACTCTTAGAAGGCTGGACTTCTCCTGCCCGTTGCAGGTGGGCAACAGCTCCTTGCCAGGGCCCTTTCTGGAGGCCAAGGATCCGTTGCGTGGCTGGGACCTGGTGACGTCGGCCTTGTACGAGCTTCTGCACGGCGCATCGCGGTGGCAAAGAGCGCAGGCATGAAAGTGCTGTTTGCTCTGTGTTCGCATGTGAGCTCGAGGCTGGTTGGTCCAAAGTTCCGGCAGCAGGATTTTATGCGGGAACGCAGGCATACCTCATCCGCCCATCTGGCGCTCGAAAGCTGCTGGAATTTCGGACCACTCAACAGTAGGACAAAAAGTATGCTTGACCTTGCTGCGGTTGATTGGGGACATGGGGCTACGCACCCGGAGCCAAGGAGAATATCCGTGGCAAGCCTTTCCAGGACATCGACATGACAATGATGAGTAGCGAGTCTGCGCGGCAAGAAGCATAACTAGGCATTAGAGCATTAGAGTCATCCGTAGTGGCTGTCCGAACGAGGTGAAAAACTATGTGTGGCGCAGGGTGTTGGTGAGAGATCGACCCGACGACCCGAAGCCAGTGAGCCTCTTGCAGACAGTCCCAACATGCAATGCTGAGCCGCCGAAAGATCAGTTCCGATGAATGTCGGAACCTGTCCGAGCTCGAAGAAATCTGCCGAGCTCGAGCTTCTAGCAAGGCCGAGTCTCGCAAGCTCCAAGCACAAATTGATGTCGAGCTGCCGCAAGAGTCGCCGCAATCTGGTAAGTCCACGGAGCATTCCACTTATGTACAACAGCCGTGTTACAGTCGCCGGCATCTGCGGCAACTTTCGCTCCTTGCTGCTGGAAGATGTAGTTTCACATGCTGTGAGTTGGGCAGGGAATCCTGCGGATTACAAGAAGCTGCAGCATGGCTCATACCCTTGCCTTGTGCTTTAGCCGGCACTGCCCGGCTCTTTGTCTTCATCTTTTGGCAGGCTGCTGTCACTGCCACCTTCACAAGCAGTCTCGTTTGCACTGCAGCTCCTGGATATGCCGCACACCTAAGTACGAAACTTGTGCTTTCCACGGATGGCATGACTAGCTAAGCAGTCCAAAATCCGTTCACAACGCAGGTTCGATGTCATTCAGCACCGAGCTCTTCTCTGCCAGATGCTCTTGAAACAACTTCAGTCCTGGTTGACGCCTGGGGAGGCGCTGGGGTTCACAGAGTACAAGACTGATCCTGTTATATCCTGCTGTCCTGTCCATTGGCGCGCGAGGAAGAGCGCTTGCGAGTACTGTTGGCATCGCTGCAACTTCTGGGTGAAGTTAGTGAGACGATGCGGCCACATTTTCTGAAACTCCTCAGGACGAAGAGTGCACAGGGGCACGGGCTGCTCTGATGGTGAACATGTGGCATCCCCTTACAGGAAACCGGAACTCATCGTCGAAAGCCTGCTCATGAATGCGTCGTTCTCTTACTTTCGTGGTCGGCAAGTGCAGGACAAGACACTGCTTGCGAGATTCTCAGGCGCGTCGACCTGCTGAAGAAATTCCTCGAAGATTTTCCAGAGCCAGGCACCTACAAAGGATGCGCCGAGTGCAGACCTTGCCCGTGTCGTAGCGTACCATAGCAGGCATAGCGGAAGCAAAGGTACCGGCACGACGAACTCATTCTGCGGTACGCACGGAAAGCTTTGGCGCTGCAGTCTTCTCAGACTCCGGCTGCTTGACTGCATCTGGTGAGTGATTCGTTACGTTTGCTCAAGCTTCAGTAGGCCCTGTCAGCTTCTGTGACCGTCAACCCAACGAGACTCATCAACAAGAAACAGGAACCATTATGCTTGGCAGGTCCTTTGCAGCTGATGTGTGCCATGCCACCGAAACTGGCTTGCAAAGTCTGAGGTTCTGACAGAAGACGCAGTCGAGGTGGCGGTCGCCTTCAGCGTGGCATGATGGGAAGCCACAGAGAATACAGAGTGCTGGACAGGAAGACGAGAACGACGCGGAGACAAGGCACAATGTTCAGCGCACAGACAGCGGTCTCTTAGGGAGTGGATGGTGAAGTGTGCAATGCATGGCTAGTGCAGTACTTGCAAAGAGCATGCCAATTGTCAGATTGGAAGCTGCTGCTTCCCCTGGTCACAGAGCACATCAGGCAAAACGCAGCACGAGTGTTTGTGTTTGATTGGTTTCTCGTCGTTTGCATTGCGCAGCTCAGAAAAGTGTTGTTGGAGGCTGAGGATGAAGGCCTTGGCGGTCCATGGTGCCTCACTGGTTCCTCTCGGAAGGCCGGTAAGGAGGAAGCCACGAGTGAACCTATAGAGACTGTGCGAACAGGACTTGGAAATTCGAAGGAGGCATCACTTCGAAGAGGCTCAGGGGCCTCTGCTCCGTGCCTGCTGGCCCCCGTGCAGATGTCCCGCTCCTCTCAGGCACCCAACAGTGGTCTGACAGAACGGATCCTCGAGCCGCTCGGCTTGCGCTTGCGGGGGACCATGTCTGCGGGAACCAACTCCGGCAGGCTGTGCTCCGACAGCCCCGACAACGCTGCAGCATGCTTCGCTCTTACACTCAAACGCACCCTAACGCTCCATGCACCAAGAAGCTGATTTCGCAGATTACTTCTGGCTGCGCAAAGGTTTCCACATTTGTGACGAGCTTTCCTTTCGACTGTATGCATTACACTCGGTTTTTTGCAGTTGCCCAGGGCAAGTGAGTTGCGAGGTAAGATGTTGCATTGACTCAGAAAGGACCTTACGCCAAAGTCCGGTCCAGGGAAGACGCTGGCCACTGCAACACCGTGGCAGCTTGGGTCCTGTTTGCCAATTTCCGACTCGCTTTAGGAGCGAACTTTGTTTCTGCCACGAGGCCTGGCACCCCTCTAACATCTGTCCGGCTCCTGACGTGAGCGAGCTCGGGTTGCACATCCTGGGCATAAACGGAAAGAAACATCCAGCGCCAGCTTCTTCATTGGGTTCCGTGAAGGTTTTTGATTCGACGATTGCTGAGCTATCTCCAAGGAAAGCCTTGGACTAAGAGTTTGCTACATCAAGGCAGCGATATGGCAATGCACCATGCTTGCCAGCATATCAGGTTTGCAGGTGCCGGGGCAGAGGCGCGATGAATTGTCCAAGAGTGGTGGTACTTGCTGAAGCATTCTGGATCAGCTGGACCGCGAAGATTCGAGAAGCGCAGAACAGGGGTTGAACGTTTCGAAGACGCGCAAGAACGATCCTGAATGCTTTGAAGAGGTTCAGCTGAAGCTCGAGAGAAGTCTGAAGAATCTCGACTTCATACCACGTCTGTGGCATGCCTGAAACTCAGCTTGGCTGTGTATCAGCCAACATCGGCCACGGATTTGGCAACGCGTTTGCACATGGCATTCCAGCTTAGCTCTGAGGAGCTCCAGCCGGACAACAAAACAAGCTGTTTGCAATGACGCAATCGGAGTAGCGACCTTGCTCAGGTCAGCGGTCGCAAGGCCTCACGGGAGAAACCTTGTTGCATCGACATGTCTGTGTGCTTCTTGTGCTATGCACCGACGAGCCGCTTGATGGCTCGGTTTTTGAGGGGACAGACTCTACACGTTGATTCATCCAACGCAGTGTACAGTGCTCAAGACCGCAGATTGCTTTGTTCGCAAGCGATGGCGGACATAGATTGGAGCCTTGGCGAGTTAATCTGCATGCATTTGTTGGCTCGAATCGCCCTGGCTGTGCGGCTGGGTATTGAACTTGCTGCTTGCTGGCGCCTTGCTGTTCTAAGGGATGGTGACTATTTCGACCTGCCAAAGGACAAGTTTAATGCGATGACAGCAGGCCAGCGACTGGATCATTTCGCGAAGAGGATAGTGAAGCATGGGAGACTCGGATGCAAAGGATCAGATGAGGAGAAGTCTTGCTTGTCTTCGGACGGACTGATCCACCGCATTCCCTTGTGTCAAGCTCTTTCCAAACATAATAGACGCACGACAACCCTTAGCAAGCCGAAATTAATGACCAGTCATCTTCAGCTGAGCAAGCTTCTGCGGTGAGAAGCACTAACCGAGGATGGAACGACCTTCACTTGTCTACAGGCTCGACATACAAATCGGGCGAACGTTTGTGTCGACGCGGAAGCAGGTCACATCCGCCTTGGAAGCCACTCACGCATTGCTGATGCTGCTGGTTGACAGTGCATACTACTAGCCGTGGTGCCATACGCAAAACAAACTCGAGAGTTCGGTGAGAACTTGCAATCGGTGGAAGCTAAGGCGAAACCCACACCCCTCAAGTCAAAGTGGTCCATGGCCAATGTACAAAAATGTTCAAAAGAACCCTTTGTTGGGAAGTGCGTTCATGCAAGGGCAAAGAACCCAACGGTGCACTCTGCTCGCACCGTGTAGCAAGCGTGTCACAGATCAGACCGTTGCCTGTAGACCGTGACCAAACACACACACACACACAGACAGACAGACAGACAGACAGACAGAGACAGACAGACAGACAGACAGACAGACAGACAGACTGACAAGAGCAGTGCAAACCGGCAACAAGGACCCTGCACTGCAACTTCGCTCCAAACAGCAGAAATCTTCAGTAACAGTCCTGCCTGTGGTACGGCGTCCTGCCTGTGGTACGGCGGGCTGCAAACAGAACAGACGTTTGCGACAGGTTTCACATAACAATGCTCCTGGCGAACTACGGCGGCAACGTTGCAGCAAAGACTAGTTGAGCCTGCTCGCCTTGCGAACAGGACCATGCCTCGTTTCCGGCTGCACAACCAAGGGTATTTCATCCTGATTGCATTGATGCCAAGGCTTCCGCAAACCAGTCAAGGGCAAGGGTATGGGGAGACCACCATCTTACTGCTCCCGTTTCTCCGATGCTGCATATGCTGGCAAGGCCGTCCGATCTGCCTACTTATGACTACTCCGTCCTCCTCTTCGCGAAGCTGCTGGTGAAGCCCTCTGAGCAGTATCAATCGATCGCATCGAGGCTGCACGAAATCATCCAAGCAAATAACTGCCGACCAGGTTTGGCAGCACCTGGCTGAAGCTTTTGGGTGCCGACAGGGGCCGTTGAGTGGGATGACCTTTCCAAACAATTGGATGCAACCTGGATTGATCTTACCAGCAATGATGTTGTTGATTGTGCGCATACCAGAAACTGGCGGACACGCCCGACGATTTGAAGACGAGGTATCGTCTCTCCAAGGGTACGTTGAAGTACTCATGCTTGCCTCAGCTGGGTGGAACCAAAAGAAACGTTGCTCGTCGCCTCGCATGTTGCGAACGCTTCGGTAGGTGCACTTGCCATTTGCAAGGCGTGCCTGACAGAGGGCAGCTCCGCTACAGCTGAGGTCGTAGACAACGTGGTTCACTGGCTCTTCTTCATCACCGGTTGGGGCTTCCTGCTTTGTCCCTGGTACAGTTTCTACTGCATCAGAGCAACTGGGCAAAACTCCCAGCCTTGCGTCTACCCTCTGACTGCGCAAGCGCATTCTTCAGGCTTCACGCGTGAAGCATGCTTGCACGGTTAATTTCTGCATTTAGGCACTTTTCTTCTGCGATGAAGCCTGGCGGCAACTTCGGAGTGTAAGCATGTCTGCCAAAAACTGTACGACACTCACCACGTCCCGAACTGATGGCTTTGAGACGGTGATCGGCAGCGACATAGGAATGTAGAGAAGGTGTCAGGATGATTTGACTTGGTCTGAGGTGTATCTTTTTGTCTTCGCCTGCAACTTACAGAATTGGGTGTTGACAGTCGCAGAGCAACAGAAGAAGTCCCAGATGACACGATTGTTCGCCCCGCATGCGAATCCAGGACAGAACGCAGTTCTATGCTGGCACTGCTCATGCTTACGGGAGCTTTGCATGCAGCCGCGTTCGCATGCATTCCCGTTTGTCACGATGATGGCTCGGTGCATGTCTGTCGAAGGAGTATGATTTTCGCTGCATGCTTTCCATTGGACACTGGCAGTTTTGCAGGAATGCAGTCTTCACCTCAGGCCTGAGGGCAGAGGAATCACGAACATGACATGGTGTAATGGTGCTTTGCTAAGGCTGGGATTGATTATGCAATGGTTCTTCTCAGGCTCTCCGCAGCCTCAAAGCACCCTCAAACCCATCGTAGCCGACGGTGAACGCATGGAGTAGGCACATGTAGGCACGAGATTGCGATTCACACTCCGTCAGGGATTGGAAAGATTGGACCTTGGTTTCAGCAACGCGGCATGTGAAGACATGCAAAGTACCGGCATTTGCAAGGCTGCGGCGGTGTTGGTCTTGCCGTGCCGTCTCTGGACCGTAAGGTACGTGAACGGACCTTTCATGCTGCAGCCGCAGCCCTAGTCAGCTTCCACCCGGGGCCTCTTGGAGTCTCTCGCGTCAGTCATCGAGCCATGTCGATCTAAATGGAAGGTCAAGATGGCTGCGCGGAAGCAAATGGCTCCGAACGTTGCTGATCGAGTCGGAAGATAAAATGAGCCCTGGCAGAGCGAACGGATGTCAGAGGCAAGCTCCTGTCCGAGCAGACACTTGTATATAGATCCTGACTTGAAGACTTGCTTGCTCCAGTTTCTGAAATTCATGCGTGGGGCTGGGAACTTCAGGATGTGTGTTTGAAGACATCGGAGCTCTCCTCCTCCCCACCCGCAACAACTCAACAAAAGATGACAGTGCTTCTGCTTTCCGCAAAATTTGCTTAGAAACAAATCTGACGCTCGCGAGAAGCGCAGCCTGTGCATCCAGCATGTAAAGATTATGAGTTAGTTTGAGCAGAAGATGTGCCCTTCGAGAGTGGGATAGACAGAGCGGCCGTCCTTCTTTCGCACAGCCAGACTTACGCTTGAAGGAGGAGGGAGTGGAGAAGACATGGCTCAGCAAGGATGCCAGGCGTGTCTTTCTGCGCACTTCCACTTCAACCCAGGGACTCTGCTGACATTGGCAAAAACCCGCAAAGACTTTTCGGGTTGGCAGATTCTCGCCCATTGGTATTATGACAAAACGGAATCTGTCGCAGATAAAGCTTCAGAAGGAAGCTTTCCCTTTGTTCCGTCGTTTACCCGTTCACGTAGGAGAGAAAGTCGCAAGCGGGCAAGCGGGGCCATGGATCCTCAAGGCACTTTGCTGATGCCTTAGAGCAACATCAAGCACTGTGAAAGCAGATGTTGTCCTCTTAGGACACCTACGTGGTTTGGTACATGCCTTGCCCACTTTGCAGCTTTTGTCGAGTACTTCGCTCCCATTGCGTTGATGGTGCCGTCCACGGCCGAACCATGTCCGCAGACAAGGCTTTTGAGCCTGCTACTCAGATTTTGACTCGAATGTCTCGCTTGGCAAGCCCTGAGGCCATTTGGCTGGGCTTGATTGGTTTGACCGTGGCTTGCCTGCACATCGGCACAGCATGATGCTTCGATGTGGTGAACCAGTCAGAGTCCAGCACAGGCTATGCATGTTTACATATTGCTGACACCGGCACCTTTCGACGTGTACTCGTGGAATTTATGTTTCTGCCGCGGGCTTATGTAGGCGAATGCAGCTTGTCGGTTCCTCGATCACTTGCAAGTTGCTGTCAACGCTTTGACATTTGTGGGCATTTGCCTTCTGCCCTGTGTGGTACGTCGCTGTTGGGCGTTAGGCCTGAGCGGCATCTATTTGTTTTACATCGGAAACTTTGGCTTCGACTGGGCGCCACTTTGCACGAAGCCAATTGCGTAGCCTTGCACTGTGCTCTACACCCGTAAAGAATGCCACGTTGCGAGGAGTTGGACAACCATGAACGTTGGGCTACGGCTCTGGTTTCTGGCAGAGTTTCTACTCTGATACTGAGTGACAGATTTTCAGCGCCACTCAACCACACACTGATTTCAAGCACTGTGTCAGGTTCTGTTTGTGCTGGTATGGGCAGTTTTTTCCCGACGATGTGGGGTATTACCTCAGCCACCGATATTGGGCCGGCAACTGGGTTCTCGGCTTGCAAGTATCTTTGAGTCGAAAGTCTGTATTCTGGTGTTCATAATGTTAAGGTATGCCCTAGCTGATTGGGGCTGTGATTGGGCGAGGAATTGTTCCTCCTTGACCTCCAAGTCATACAAATAGGGACAAACAATTCAGTAAAAGCAGGGCCTGGAACTTGGTTCAGACTGAACCGTGCGGCCGGGATCCTGGATCCGGCCGGTTGAGCAACACGCGGGGGAGTCCACGGTTTCGGACGACTTCCTCGCTTGGATGTGTTATGGGCATCATGCAGGGCTTTTGCAGAAGGTCAAGTTTGGAACCGTCAGCGGTTCGGGTTTTTTGCGGTTCCTAGCCGGTTCGGTTCTTGTGCGCTTCGGTTCTTGCTGTGCACGGTTCGGTTCCTATGGTTCCGATTTCCCGGTTCGGTTCCCCGGCCTTCCTGTTCAGTGTCTTCATCCAGAGGTAGCGACATGGTGAGTTCAGATTTCGTGTGGCAAACCTCAAAGCTCTAGACGTGGAATCAGCAGCTTGGTCGAGGGTCGAAGGGATCGGATAGTGGCTCCAACCGGAAGAGACTGTTGGTCACAAGGTATGCGTCCCATCGAGACGGAAGTTCGTATGTTTTTGCACACTGGCTACCAGAGAGTCTGACGCGTGACCCACCGACTCAGATCGCACGCTGATGGAAGAAATGAGGTGCAAACACATTTCATGGTCAGAAAGACTCAGACCGTGAAGGAAAAGCTGGACAAAGTGGATCCGCCACTTGCCGTGCATTGTTATTTGAAGCCTTTTTGGATGTCGGCAGTACCCCCCCAGCCGATGTCCTTTGCTTACGTCGACAGATGTCGACAGTGTATTGAGTCGAGGGGCGGAATTTTGACTATGCAGTCAATGTCTCGGTGTGTGCGTTCTATCATATTCATGTCAATGTGTTTCTCGTTATAGCTGGTTCGATGGCTGAAACTCGTGTCAAGCGACGGCTTCTTGACTTTTCCTGAGTGTCCCGAAGACCTAGAGGAACCCGCGAATCGGACGGGCGATTAAGCCGGCTTTCGGTTTTGTTGTCTTAGGTGCTTAAACTTAACCGGCGTTGGGCTTTAATTGGGGCCGGGAAGCTTAATTTCGGCTTGAACGCCCAGATTCAAACTGATTTAGACAGGGCTGGGATTTATGCCGGCTTGAGAGGGGGAGGGAAGAAAGCAAGCAAGCAAGAGAGAGAGGGAGAGAGAGAGAGAGAGAGAGAGAGAGAGAGAGAGTTTGCGATTTTGGCTCAAGGGCCCAGGGGGATACGCCAAGACCTCCTCTGACCCTGGCCCTTCCGGGAACCCCTGCCCTTGTGGCTTGTTCGGCTGTCCCCCGAACTTGCCTGGCAGGGGCCCTGGAAGGTGGCCCAGCAGTAGGGGGGGGCAGCGGGGGCAGCATGCTACCACACGGCGGACCACGGGGAGATCTTGCAGAGCATCCAAGACCTGGCGCGGGGAATTGCAATTTCGAGGCGTCAAATACTGTAAATGCACCTTTCTTTACTATGGAGAACCTCGCGCAGACGCTGATCCCGCACCTTTTGCCAGCACGCAAACCCCCGCACGGGGACGCGTGCTCATATCCCTCCTTTCTACACCAGAGTCCATCCCAACCAAATGTTGGATGGGGTGCGCGAGCGCGCGGGCTGCAAGGACTGCTTGCAGCTCATACCCCAGAGCAAGGCAAAGAGAGAGAGCGAGAGTCTTTCACTGCGAATCACAAGCCATGCATGTGTCGCTGAGAACATTCAACCACTCCTCATCTCGTTACCTTATACAGCATTGCCTTAGCGTCGGAGTGGTTAATGTTCGTTCTTCACTCCCCGATAACCCGATCAAAAAGATCGGGTGGGCATTTTGCCCGGGGACGGTGACGCGTCCCTATACCCGGAGAGAGAGACAGAGAGAGAATCATTCGCTGCCTATTTCGTCGACTTCTTCACCGTGCTCTTCGAGCTTCGCGAGCGGGTGGTGCGGACCCCCTGCGACGTTGCAGACGTAACTAGAACGGATCGGGGGGCGCTTTGAGCCATTGTTCCTGACGGAGTCCAACTCAGCGATCGTGACACTGCTGCGACTCCGGCGAAAGGGGGAGTGCAAGACCTGGCCTTTCGACCTTTCAGGGGGCTGCTGCACGCTCCTCTTGACCGTCGCAGGCCGCGAAGTACAACGACGTTTGCACCACAAAGTTCCCCTAATACACTGGGTGGGGAAGTGCAGGTACTACTTGTTTGTGACAGTGGCAGGAAGGGCGAGACGGGGCTTTTCGAACACGGTGGAAGACATCTGTGGTGAGGGAACGCAGGCAGAACAGCCGCGGAGCTGGAAGTGATGTGCCGAATTCGCTGAGTGGGGGGATGCCGAACGACTTTGAGTAGGCTGTCAGGATTCCATATGCGCAGGGTATTTTTCAGAGGGGAGGTTGAGCGTGGTTTGCAGCTGGCCTTGGCGTTTTCCTGTTTTCAGGATCTTTGTTCACTCACAGTCCTTTTCCCCACTGATCCTACGTCCCAGTGCCGGGGGATGCAAGCAAGCTGCAACTACTCTTGCGACGAATGTCTCTGTCGGGGATTCGATGAAATTCCCCCTGATTTGCAAGACTTGACTTGTAAATTCTGCTTTGCAGATGTCCAATTCCGCTCACCATGCCATGTCAGTGCAAACTTGCCGCTCCGCAGTTGCCTGACAAACCAGTTCTTTAATTCCCCTTCGGGGGACATGTCAAATCCGGCAGTACCACCCGACTTTCTTTTTTGTCTTAAGGTTCAAGCGCTGAATCTTTTCCCAGGGGACAGTCAATTCAACCGGCACTTTTCGTGCTGCCCCTCAGATGTCTTCACAGTTTTAACCAAGACCCTTACAACAACAGGGTAATGCAAATTGACTTGGGAAGCTTGTGCTCCTTTCAGCCATGAGACAGTCCGACAAAAATGTGAACCCTAGACGTTGTCAGTCCTACTTTATGTTGCGCCGATAGCTTAGTCTGCTTCGTAAATGTCGGGAAGCCTCGAATGCCAGGACTCTGATTGTATCCTCGATACCAGTCCAGTGTAAAGTTCTTTTCCTTGTGGTTCGTGACAAATCGAGAGACAAACAAAGTTCAAGGTGTCCATGCAAGAAAGTACCGGGGGGACCCGATTTCGTTTGTCTAGCTTCTTCATTTATGGCAGCAGTCTTGGTACGTGGCTTTGCAACTGGTACGTACAGTGTCACAGTCCCTTCAATAAGGCCTGAAAAGTGGGGGAACCTAATGGCCAGGGGGCTTCAGACGCCCCTTATGCCCTGTGGAAGAAGTGCGAAGGACCGACTTGGATCGACCAGTGCTCTCGCGAGCACCCCCGTTGAAGAAAAGTGAGAAAGACGAGGACTCAGAAACGAAGGAAGGAAGGAAAGAAGGAAGGAAGGAAGAGTGTAGTGAGTGAGGCAACGAGTGAGAAAATGTAAGGATAGTTTCCCCGTCCCTTCATCCTGACAAAAAGAGAAAGACAACAGCCACAGGTCGCTTGTCAGGTTGCGGGTAAGCCGGTGAAACTGCGGTGTTCCCTGTGTGGACTCAGACCTGTGCGCCGGCAGAAAGTTGCCCGCCTCCCTCTTCTAGCCCGGTAGAAGACACAGAACAGGGAGAAAAACAGACGGAAGCGCTCGCGGCGTTCGCCGCTCTTGCTCCAGCTCAACCCTGCCCGGTCAGTGGACCTCTGCAAAGCATCCGTTCCAGGAGATCCAGGCCTCGAAATGGGTGCTGCTGCAGGCCCGCCCCCGTCTAAGTGTTTGTGTTGCGCCATGGCCTTCATCGGTTTGTTGCACCAGAGGAATGAAAGCCAGATGCGAGTAAGAGCCTCCGCCGGTCCCAACAGGACAATTCTGCCGAAGCTGCCGCTGCAGCAGAGACTACGGGCTGGGAGGAGCCGTCTCACGAATTGCCAACGTAGGTTTTAGCTGTCGAGTTGTTGAGCGCGGCGATACAATGATTGCGGTTCCAGCAGGTGTTTTCGCTTTGTTCTTCGACGGAGGGTCCCTTGCATAGAGAAGAGAGTGACAGAAGAGAGGAGCTGAGACGGGCAAACTGGCCTTGGCCAGTTAAGCCTTGAGCTGGCTTCGCCGCTTCGCTTTCGCAGGAGACTGCCATCCTTGAGCAGCTGGAGGCCTTCTGAACTCATGCTTCAGCTCATTTCAGCCCTTCCCCACCTCAGCTGATGATGCTTTCCGGTCGGCTTTTCCTGCTCCTTCGGTTCTTGCAGCTGTTTCTGACGGCGCTCTCCTCAGCTGCTCATGACGCTCGCACTACTTGTTTTGGTCAAAGGGCCCTCCGTGATGATCGTTAATAATACGTTGTCCTTTCCTGCCCGTTCTTCACTCAGCCGATGCTGTTGTCATATGCCGAGGGCAATTCCCAGCTAGTTTAGCCAGGATGATGTTGGCCTAGACAAAGGCTGATCCTCGCGATGCCATTTGGTGCCGAAGAAGTTTCCCAACCAATGCCCCGCTAATTTGTCATGAGGCTCCCCGAGGCCTCCAGATGGTGATTGCCTTTCGTGGCCTTTCCTGCTGACGCCTCCAGGATGATGCGCTCATGATGCTTGTATGCCGAAGGCATTTCTCAGCTGATTCCAGTGGTGCTTAGTTTTTGGCTTCACCTCTCCTCTTACCGAATGCACTTGCCAGCCGGGGCTGATGCTGCTTGTTTTTCAGCTCTTGCCAAGGCTCTTCGTCGCTTGCATAGGTTCTGCTTTCCTTGACGCATCCGCAGCTGGTTCTCGTGATGCTCGCGACAGCACTCAGCGGTCGATGATTCCGGTGGGTGTTGGTCTTCCCTCGAAAACCTCAAGTTGATGCTCATGAGGCGGTCGCCGGCCTTGTGTATTTCTTTCACGCTGATGCTGATGTGGCCTAACTTCTTGGTCTTTCTTGCTGATGCATCCTTCGGCCTATGGTTTTGACCCAGATGAGCAATCGCACGTGTGCTGGCTTTTCTTGGGTTAAGCTGATTCGCATGTTTATCTGATGTTTATCTCATGTTTATCATGCTATCGGGGGTGCAGCTTGCAGAACTTTGAGGGCTCAGCCTGCCCAGACCAAGACCCACACAGTGTTCGTGGGATGCAGACTGCTGAAGGTCGCATCATTCTGCTACACTTTTGTGCGGACTACGTTTAACATTATAATTATGCGTCCTGAAGGAGCTACAGAAGGAGGAGGATGTAGGCAACGCGAACCTGGCGGCTCAGTTTGCGTGCCTTGCTTGCATCTTGCAGACTCTAGAGCTTACTCGGACTGGTTAGTGGCCAATGGTTGCATGCAAATTAGCACCCGACGCTGCGTCGCTACTCACAACCTCCCTGCGCTCCTCCAGAAAGCTCAACAAGGAGAGCTTGCTCTCCAGCTTTGAGCCATGCATGCTTTGCCCTCAGGCATTACGAGGAAATGATTGATGCTGAAGACGCTGAGAACTGGGACGGACGCGGGGATTTGAAGCTATCCCGCATTCAGCGTGAGTCTCCTAGATTCTACTAGAAACGATGCAAGCTGTGTGAGCAGCTTCCAATTCCATCTGAGCTTTCTTGTCGAATTAACATAAGCTTGAAACATCAGGAAACCTCAAATCCATGGCCTTGGATCCAAGCCGAGGCCGCTAAGCAGTATCTGTTTCAGATGTCCTGTAGCGTCCCCAGGATGGTCCGAGAATGGCGGCGGCTCCATCTTCACATCGAGCAGCCGACTGACCCTGCATGTTACTGGCAGTTAATCTACGAGGATGTGCACAGCAACACTACGACGACAACGATGACCTCGACTACTGCTGCTGCTGCTACTCCGTCCACACCTACACCCAGACCTAGTCCGACTCTCACTGCTACTGCCGCTGCCACTGCCACTTCTCCGGCTCCGGCTACGTCTACGGCTATACGGGTGAGACGTACTACT